CCCAAAAAGTGCTGAACTAACACTCTGTACTATGTGTTGTGGACAAGGAGCTGGGGATAGAAGTTAATTTAAATTTTCGTAGGGCACAGAAGAAGGGCAGTGGGGCAGCATATAGAGTTGAAAAAGAGAATTGTGGGAAGAAAAAGCTGGGAGATAGAGGTGATGCCTAACAGATGAGATGGAGGTAGACAACGTCCTGGTGAAAATGGGTTGTTGGCTTTTGTAAAACTCAGTTTGGGCTGGTAAATCTGAATTAGGTTAGTTCATGAGCAAGTGGGAAAATTACTGAAAATAATTTCTTGGGTGCTACCTGAAGAAGTGGGCTGAAGAAGGAGCAGTGCTAGTTGACCTTTCTACTCAATGCAGAAAGCTCTCAGCAGAACTGAAGAGGGATGGAAGATAAGAAGGTCAAAGGTTTACCTGCAAGAGAAAAGCCAGCAGATTGAGTTGCTGTGGTGATTGCTGGAAAGATGCCAGCTATAATATCTTTAAGCCTTTTCTTAGCTCTAGGTAGAAATAGTTTTAGTATTTGGAAACAGACAAAATTACATTGTTTTATCTGTAGGAGAATACATTCAATATATGAGTTACAGCTCAGTGTATAACAGTATCCTCCTCATTTGAGAATAAGTAATGAGGAAAATTGTGAAAGTTCTGAAGCTTTCTTCTACCAAACTTCAAATTTATGCTGTTCTTTTTGTTTTCATTGTTCCATCCAGTAAGTGATATCAACAAATTCTTCATAAGAGCAATTATATTTATATTGCTTATTCTACTTTAACACACATTTATCCAAGAATTTTATCTGCTACGTTTCCAGAAAAATAGTTATTCATTTGAAGCCTCCAATGCAGAGGCGTAGAAAATGGGTTGTTCCAATAGAAGAGATGCAGCTCAGGGCTGAACTGTGGAGTCCTTGGTGCTCTCTGAGCTTGGTTGTTTGCTTACAGACATTTCATTACCTGACTAGGTAACATCAGTGCTAGTGAGTGTGGGATTTGTTCCTGTTTATATACAGTAGCTTGCCCTGACAGTGTTGGTGGGGTAGGGTTTTCTCTTTGGTAGTTCCTTGATTAGAGTATTATTTTCTGGTTGAGTGTTTGTCTGGTGTTAATCCCTGCTTATTTGGGTGTAGGCTGCTGGAGAGGAAGTGTTCTGGTTTGTTTCCTTCTTAGCTTTTTTATTGTCTCTTTTGAATAATGTGTAAATATGGTTTATTTCTATATGTCTATTGATGGCTGATTTGTTGAGTGCCACGATTCCAGAAATTTCCTGGTGTTTTTGGATTTAGCTTGGTCTAGGATGCTCCCAGTTTCCCAGTTGAAACTATGGTTGAGTCTGTCCATGTGTTGTTAATTTAAGGAGTTTTCATTGTGTCTTCTGACTGCTAGTTGGTGTTCATGGGTATGCTCTGCTAGCCTTCTGCCTCTGTCCTACATGTATGTATGACATGTATGCCCTACAATGTATGCAAAGGGTTGTGTTAATTTGGACAGTTGCAGAAATTGAGGAATTACTTTATTCATTATAATAGCCACATTAATGTGCAGCAAACCTTTCCATGTTAAGTTGCTAACTCCTTGAAAAGTTCAATCTTCACTTATCTGGAAGGAATTATGTATTGCCTGATTTGGGAAGGAATTACTTGCCTGATTTCTTTTCTCTTTACATTTTCACATTGTACTAGGTTGGTGCAGAAATCAATGAATTAGTATAATTAATGTTTGACCGCTAACCCTTTATATTTGTTTTATTTTGTTTTGTTGTTTTTCCTTTACTTTTGCTTATGAAAAAATACATTACTTGTATTTGATCTATGGAATCAAAATACTTGATCTATGGAATCAAAATACTAGCTTTTCTTTTATTCTTCTATTATACGCTCATCTTCCTTTGATATGTGAGCTTTAATTCTAGCTGGAAAGTGAACTTAGTATTAAACTTGATGTGGATGGAGGAGGGGAGATCACATCCTTACTCACTTACGGGGCACTTCAGAGTTCAACACTCTCTCCCTTCCTGTTTAACATCTACATGAAACTGTTAGATGAGGTTATCTGTCAGTTTAGTGTATTAATGATACTAGCGCTATATCTCAACCATGGGCTGCACAGATGAAGCTGTCAGTGGACTAATCCAGTGCCTGGAGGCTGTCCGGTATTGATGGGAAGGAATGGACTTTGGCTCAAACCTGACAAGACTGTTTGCCACCCCCCCCCCCCACTAACGTCGGTTTTTTTTTTTTTTTTTT